GAGCAAAACCTTCCATGTATAAGTCTTTCTATCCATCATGATACTTCATATCCCAGTTTGTTTCTGAGGGGATAAAACTAGCATTCTGGCCCATCTTGCGTATCCATACCTATACAGAAAAACATTATTGTATGTTGGTACTGTTTCTTGACACTTACCCTCCCATATCTGTTAGCATAGGACCCTGTAAGCAAGGAGTGGAAAATGATGATCGTCTCATCCAAATCCCAAATGAATACTCTCTGTAAAAAGAGAATCAAATTAATGTGTTCTTTTGTAAAGCTGATTTGGCAATTCAAAACTTAAATCAGTATGTGAACAAATGAGAACACTTTATTAAAACAGTCATAGATCATATGCAGATGTTCTGTTTCTCCTGGTAGACACATGAATTATGCACACGTTCAAGTTTTTTTCTCCCAGATCAAAAATAGCTGCTTCGGGAGAAAGATAACCAAGGAACAACCAGGGTTAAAACATTCTTCAGAGAGCTTCTCCTGGGAGACTGAATATCTGCAAACTTTATCCAGACTTAACTCCTCCCTGTAAGTGGAAGGAATGGAGCCAGGGGAAAGGTGCCTGTGCCTTATGGAGGCCAGTGTCACCAGTCTGGAGAAGGCATGGGGGCAATTGCTCTTCCCATCTGGTAGACCAGGAGCAGAGGGAAGCAGCAGCCACCAGCTGGTCGCTGCCTGCTTAGTCTGGGGTTCCAGTGCAGGATGAGGCAGGGAGATTTTGCTGCAGCTGCAAGACTCAGTAGCCTGCCTTGCTACAGTATGCTCAAGGTCAGCTGGGGAGCACAGGTGGCAAGGGGAAGCCAGAGGAGCTGCAAGCTGAGTGGCTCAGTGGCTTTCCCCAAACCAGACTCTTGGCCCCTCTGGCTTTTAAACTGCTGCCCACACCACCCAGCTGGGGATAAAAGGGGAAGCTGGCACTGACTTTCCAGTCACTGCTCTTTCCACCCTCACTGCTCAGCTGAAAGGGAAGCAGGCAGAGAGCAGCCATGAGGGCAGCCAGAGAGGTTGGCAGTCTAGCTTGGGGAAAGCCTCCACATGTCCACCTCCCAGTCCCTCCAGCTTCCTCTTGCTGCCCATGCTGTCCAGCTGATCTACAGCAAAGCAGGATGAGTCTATTGTACCACAGCAGCGACGCTCAGGAGCCTTGCTGTCATAGCAAAATTCCCCTGCCTTACCCTACACCGATCCATTTCAGCATGGGATGAGGCAGGCTGCAATGTCCCTAAAGCAAGGCTCTCAGCCCCTTGCCACAGCAGCTAAGCACCCCTGCCCCTTTCCCTGCACTCCTCTGTGGCTATTTTCCTGCATGGGAGAACTGGGAGGGTTCCCACAGAAGAAGGCCCCTTCCTGCCAATCAGTCAACTGTGGAATGGGGCGTAATGGAGTGGTGGCGGTGGGGGGGCAGTTTTCCAGGGCTGGAATCCTCCCTGGCTATCTGTGGAACCTGCAAACTGCCACCTGGCAGCCTCTCACCTTTCCAGGCAGGGGAGAGGAGAGGCTGTCAAGTAATAGGCTGCCTAAAAGCAGTGGTGGCCTAGGGAGCAGACCTCTAGTACCTCTGGCTAGAGAGCTTGCATGTACAGTCCAGCTCCCAGGCTATTTTTCTAATGGAAATTTCTTCTGGTAGAAATTAACATCTGTATGCAGCCATAATGTATTTTCAGAAATGCAAGTTGGTCCCGACCAGTCTAAAACAGTCTTTTAGTTTTCTACTATAATAAATTATTCTGTTAAGAAAAAAAAAAAAAAAGTAGATGGTATTAAAACACACGTGGGAGAAAAATCCATGAACTGTAAACTTTGATATTTAAAAGCCAACTGTCAGGAAAATCTGAAATATATGAACAAAGCAATTCAAAGTTATAACTATTAGATTTTAATTGCCTTTTTCTGGTTTAGATCACAAAGTAAACATTTTCAGTAAACTTATTTTCAGAGGCTAAACTGAAAAGCAAGGGGGGGAATTTACAAAGTACCTTTTTTAGGAGTTTAAGTCCACTTTTAATGGATTTAGGCATTTTGAAAAACTTTACCTATGGTAAATTATGTATTTGCAGAAAAATTCAAAAGCCATTCTGTAAATATTTCAGAACCCTGAATATACAACATTTCCCATAATGTATAACAGCTTCAACTCTTTGGAAAGTGAAAGAATGTATTCCAGGAGTCCCTGACTCTGAGATAGTCTGGACAGGAGGACAAACTAGAGAGCAGGATCAAGGCATTAAACCAACTGAATAATGGCTGTTTTGCTATGTTAAGTACCTCGCGTACAAATTGAAACATTTCTGCTTTTGTTGTAAACATCTTGGTTTTCAGGTGGGTTATAACATACCTCAAGATCAGAATCAGGTGGTGGTGAAGGGTTATTGTTTCTTCTGCCTCGACCACGTGATTTTCCATCAGAACCACGACGCAATCTATCTGAATCAGAGTCTTTAATGGGCGTCGATGGACTGTGGATTGTACTGTACTCTGCTGTAATAGAGAAATAACTTTCACCTTTGTTTATAATGTTAATTTTAGTTTATTTCTTCAGATTTGGCATTACAAAATGTCCATAGAAAAGTTCTGGGTACACCGACTATAATTAGCCTAAAATAATGACCTGAAAGCATTAATAGTAATACATAAACAAACTAACTCTACCAGCTAGCAGCTGTAAGTAATCAAAAGTAATCAAATTTACCTCAGCCAAGAGACAATAACATTGAAAAAATTCCAGAAAATCCTCATGCTTCCAAACAATCAAACCAATCTTTTATCCTCTCCTCAAATCTCTTTCCAACAATTTTAAGCTTGTTGTAATTTGAAACACAATTTTTCAAAATCTGTCTAATATTACCATCACAGTGACCTGTGAATGCAAAAAACTATTGTTGCAATCGATCGCATTTAGAAGACTAATATTTAATTGTTACATCTTTTCAGAATTATAAAATTAATTCTTCTTATGGCTTCTGTTTGGTTCAGCAGAATCCTCTTCAAGTAAGACAGAGACCAAGAGTCCTGAAATAGTCAGGACAGGTCTAATTTAAAAGTTTAATCCTGTTTTATAAATTGAGGAAATTTGAAAAGTGTTCTTCACTTCTTTTTCAAGTTCCAAAAGCAGGTAAAAATACTCTCTCTCTTCCCCTTCCTGCTCAAAGAAATGCCCTGTCCCTGTCTCTTCCTCTCTACCCCCTGCCTGCCTTACCTCACTGTCCTAAGACTGGAGAAGCAACAGAGCCATTCCCACCTGCTGTACAGGGGCTGGGGTCACCTGGGGCTGGGGACAAAATGTGGCCCCCCACCCCTTGGCAGGGGGACAAAGGGCCCTTGTCTTATAATAATGCAGAAGAAAACCTCACTAAATACATTGTCTATCATTAAACTCCTGCCGAAAGTAGCATATGCTTAGCAAAGGAAACCAACTATGAATTTGATTAAATGCAGCTAACACTGAGCCTGACTATAAAATACAAGGCCATATTGGGCAAACATGCCGATAGGAACTGTGTGCATGCGCGTGCGCGTCCCTTAAAAAGAAAAGAAAGAATAGCTGTTCCCCCAGGAGAGAACAAGCACCAGGCCTGGAGATACTGCAATACCAGGCCAGCACTCCAAGAGACCAGAACAAGCTCCAACACCCTCCCCTGGTGCCAGAAATCCTGATGGGAATCTACCACAAGGACAGATCAGTGAAGCACCTCTGAATAAGATACATGCTAATGCCCATTAAGCACACCCCCACACTGCCAACAATTTTGCAAGTCATGGTGAGCCACAACCTCGTGCTCTCTGTTGCCTCCTCTCTCAGACTGGTGCATACGATTAGTGTGGCTCTGCTCTGTATGATGTAAAGCCAGACCAGGTTGCTCTGTGCCTTGTCTGCATATACATTTTTGGAACAGCTTAGTACTTGTGACAAGAACACCTGGCTCTAGACATGCGTGAGGACTAATTAGCACATGGAGCCTTTGTTGGAGGGGGGAGGGGGAAGTATCTGGAGTATATACACATCCTGAGCAGTACTGAGCTATGGGGTCACCATGGAGGGTAGGGCCACACTAATCATATGAAGCAGGCTGAAAGGGCATGACAGAAGGATTCTGGGTGAACTGTATGCAGTGTCATGGCTCGCTATGGCTTGAAATGCTCTGGTAGGGCTTAGCCCAATGAACTATGTGGTAAATCATGAGCCTTTTTGCTTTAAACTAAGTACCATGCATAGTTTATATTAGATATAAGTACGGGACAAAGTGATGTTCAAAAGTGTGTTCATGGAGTACCTATGCTAAAACTTGCAGCAGTTTCAAAAAACAGGTAATTTGCATCAATTCTGGATGAACTAAGTCTATGGGTACTATATACAAATTGCTACAGCCATATTTAATTTCAAGGTTACTGTTTTCATATTTGCTTCTCACTTTCAGATACTCAATAAGAGCAGGGTCTGACAGTAAAGAAAGGGGGAAGGGGCTGCCAGGGGAAAAAGTTGGAGGGAAGCAGAAAGCAAAAGGGCTACTAACCTTCCAGTTTTATTTTCCCTGCTGTAGCAGTGGGAAGGAGACAAATTCAAGGCAAACCTCCAATAATTAGATTCTATACCTAGAAAATTATAACAAACTTATAAAGATTCCATAGACAGAATCTAATTATTGGGGTCTTATAATCAGGATAGTCTTTTATTTGAGTAAATACAGTACATGGTGTTTTCTGCTTTAGCACGGTGGTGGTTGCATCTGGCCCATGAACAACTGGATCCAGCCCAAGGCACACAGAAAATCAGTGTCAAGCAGCTTGGCCTGGTGCATCTCCTACCCTGCCCTCAGCCATGCCACTGATTCCCTCTGCAGCCCTCCCTGCTTTTTCCTCTCTCTTCTACAATGGCAGTCACTGCTTGGTCTCTCCTTCCCCTCTTCCCACCTCCCTTACACATGTGCTTTAATTATACATAAATGCTCTTCTTCCTTCCCTTCCCTCTGACATTGGCAGCCAACTCCCTGTCAACAACACTGAGGTCCCGAACACTGTTATGCAAGGTAAAATAGCCTATGCAAATTATTCATCCTAACAGTTTACAATCTGATATGTAATTTTGAACCTCTTTGACATCTTCTATTTCAAATTCTAATTTCAAAAGAAAAAACTGCATTTTCATGGCTAGAATAAAGAGATGTCTAAATGTTTCTCATGAAGGAGTTAGAATTTTTACTATGTAACAATACATATACTGAACTTTTTTCAGTGAACATCAAGCTTTACTGAAAAAAAATCTTCACTCTTTCAAGCTTAATAATATTTCATGCTTGTAAGAATAGTAATTAGTTTAATGGAGGTGTTTATCTGTATATAAAATATAGTACTACAATTTGTTAAATAAATCTGGCCATCCTCTCTCATGTGAGTTACTTTAAACTGAGAAAAATGTCCTGCTGAATTCAAAGATTAGATTGAGTTAGACCTCTAAAAGCCTTTGAAGCTAATATCACTACTTGCAAGAGTCAGAATTACTTAAAGACATGAATGCCAACCGTTTTTGTTTTTTTTTTGCCAGCGGATACTTGTTGGTGTAAAAAAAAAAAAAAAAAAAAAAAAAAAAAAAAGAAAAAAAGGCAAAACTCCCCTGGCACTTTACTTTTAACTCAGTGTGTTTCCATGCTGAGCTCTGTGCATGCCCAGAAAAGACAATGCATTACTTCTACCTGTCTCTGCAGCAGCTGTAAAGACTGTACACTTTAGTAGGGCTTTTTTTGGCACTTTTATCTAATAGCTGATTGAATCAGCTTTAGCTAAAAGTGCCCAAAGCCCTGCTGAAGCACCCAAATTTACTAACACTGCAGAGCTGGGCTGAAGCCATGCACTGCTTTCTTCCAGTGAAGGGGTGGGGGGCAGTTGTTTTATTTTTAACATCAGCAAGTGACTCCATGGGTGCTAAGCACCTGCTAATTTTTTTCAGTGTGTGCTTGAGCCCTGGAGCACCCATGGAGTCAGCTAAAAGAAGCAAGGCTTTTATGTAAAAGGCTGATATTCTCAAAGTCATTTTGAGAGTGTTATGCACTTAAATGAAGTGACTAATCTTACCTGAAATATTCTAGGAAAAAGAAAAGTTAACCCCCCAAAATAAATGGTTAAACTTTGAGAAAATGCACTTATGCACCAGTAGAGGCTGGGGACTGACTGGCTAAACAGCAGCTCTGTAGAAAAGGACCTGGGGGTTACAGTGGACAAGAAGATGAATATGAGCTAACAGTGAGCCCTTGTTATGAAGATGCCTAACATCTTACTAAGCTTCATTAAGAGGAGTATTGCCAGACTGAGGGAAGTAATTATTCCCTTTTATTCGGCACTGGTAGGGCCACATCTGGAGTGCTATGTTTAGTTTTGGGCTCCCCACATCCCCAGAATGGATGGAGACAAACTGGAGAGAATGCAGTGGAGGGTAATGAAAATGGTTAGAGGACTGGGGCTTATTTAGTCTGGAGAAGAGAAGACTGAAGGAGGATTTAATAACAGCCTTCAAGTACCTGAATCCAAAGAGGTTTCTTGTTCTCAGTGGTGGCAGATGACAGAACAAGGAGCAATGATCTCAAGTTGCAGCAAGGGAAATTTAGGTTAGCGATCAGGAAAGACTCTCTCGCTAGGAGGGTAGTAAAAGTCTGGAACAGGCTACCTAGAGACATTGCATCCTTAGAGGTTTTAAGACCCAGGTAGACAAAGCTTGGCTGGGATGATATAGTTGGTGATGATCCTTCTTTGAGTAGGGGTTTGGACTAGATGACTTCCTGAGGTCCCTTTAACACCTAATTTACTATGATTCTCTGATTCTATGAACATTTTGGAAAAGAGATCATCCTGTAAATTAAGATTATTTTTGTGCTGAACTAAAATAATAAAGAGAAATAGATAAGCTTTAAACAAACATAGAAGATGCTGTTGGATATAGCATTTTAAATTAAAAATCACCATGTACATTCCAATGTAGATGCCATGTCAGTTTATGTTCCAAAATAAATATTTAAATATCTGAACTGATAACTGGTTAGCTGTCCAGGAAATGATATTGTAAATAATACCTTTTAATAGACTAGTTCATGTAAATGTTTCAACTAATAATTTTCCCACACTTAAATTAACCTTTTTTTTTAAATTGTATTTTACTTTAACAAGAAAATAATATACACATGCTCTAATAAAAGCATTCTGACCAAATAACAGATTTTGGTTAAGCAAAACACATAAGTCCAAATTCGTGAAAGATGTGGCTTGAGTTTTAAAGCTGATGGACACCGGCACTTCCCACTGACTCCAGCTGGAATTCTGGATGCTCAGTAGGGTTGTGCAAAGCTTTAGTTACCAATTCAATTCAGAGGAGATTCGGCTTGATTCGGCAAATTCAAATTGAATAGGGAGACCCATTAAAAGGTCCGAATCAAATCTGAAGCCTCCAAATTGATTCAGAAAAGGTTCATAGAGATTTGGCTTGGCCGGAGAGA